TTTACAGTGTGTGTATTTAATGAATGCAGTGTGTGTGTGTATATAATGCAGTGTGTTTATGTATGAGTGCAGTGTGTGTGTGTGTGTGTGTGTGTATGTTGTAGAATTATTAGGCCTATATAAATCTGTAAGGCCCCTTTAAATCCTCTTGCTATACCTCTAAGAGGCCCCCATAGTTTTACAAGAAAGCTTTGTCTATAGAACATAGAATTTGCATGCCAGCAAGAAATAGCTTTGATAAAATGTGTATTTACTAAAAGCCTTGAAACCTAACCTTGAGAAACTAACAAGTGCCAGCTACGCTCTAAATGGATAGCTGCCAAAAGGCCCCTCCCGTTGAGTGAGCTCCTCATGTTAGCAAAATGGCGCTAAAACCTGGAGGAGAAAAGCATGACGTGGATAGTGACCTAAGAATGGGGAGGGCATTTTACTAACATCTTAGCACCTAATCCAATTAACAATGTCTATTTGTCTATATCTTGATTTTCTTCAATGATGTAATAATGCCTTTAAAAGGGTCTGTGCACCCATTTTCTGTCAGAAGCCATTAAACTTCTCCGAAGTTCTTTCATTAACCTGAACTTTGTGTCTCAGTGTGAATTTACTTCTGCGTGCACGCAACTTTATTATCTTTAATTTGGACAGGAACAGATAGTCATTCAAACTAATTGGTTTGCAGTAAATTATCTACAACAACTGGCGCCCAACGTGGGGCTCTGGGCTATGTCCTGCCTGGGCAGCTGTCCAAGAAGATGCTGGGGGGGTGAATCCTGGGGGAAGGAAAAGAGCCTGATCACCTCTGAGTACACGGTAGAGATTGCTGCAGCACCTAGCCGGTATGCTCCTGCCCCTGTGATTGACCTATCCCAGTGTCTGTGACTGCTGCCGAGAGGACATCAAAGTCAGGTAATAACTTGCCCAGAGTCTTTCTATTGTTAATGATACCTAGTTTACCTGCATGTTGACTATCTGTTGCCTGGGTGTGGTTTTTGTATTGGTTTGTGTTTAACTTAGTCTACCCGGGGAGTGTAAGTGCCTGTTTAACTCCTTTTAGGTACCACGTGGCTGTGGTAGTAAGGAAAAAGGGGGGTGGACCTGTGGAAGTTTTCCTGGGGGTCCTCTATTGCCTGTTTAACTCTTTTAGGAGCCACATAGCTGTGGCTGTAAGGAAAAAGAGTAGGGGGAATCTGTGGAGGATGATGTAGACTCATTGCTTCCTGGGGGTTCCCCATAGTGCCACTTTGACCGCTTAGCTAGCCTCATCGGACACTTCTTCTTGGTAAAATTCCAGCCTCGAGCGCTGAGGCAGGTAAGATTCCAATTCTTTAGGCTATACAGGATTCGGGTTGGAAGCTGTTGCTGTTTCCTGTGGCTGCTGGTAGTGAGACTTGCGGGTGGGTCCGCAACAGGGACACTACGAGGTTGAGGGAGGTGGCTTTGGGCCACGCGAGTAAAGGCAAGGGATAAAACTGTTGAACTTATTTGAACTGTGATGCATGCACTGTATTTTATTTGAAATGTTGTCTTAATTGTCTGTCACACAGATTCCTGTGTTTACTTCTATCTTACTCACTGTACTATTTACACTTTCCCCTCCTATTTCTCTTTCTCTTTGTTGAGAGAAGTGATTGGTCACACACTTCTCGCCACGCTCCAATCCGCGGCTACCACGGGTAGGCGGAATCAGTGACTAGTCTACGTTTTGGGAAGACGTACTTAAAGAGCTTGCTCTTAAAGTAGCAGTCGAGCACGGTAGACGTTCTGTTCCTTTCTCTCTCTATATCTGGGACGCCTTGTATAGGGAGGATGGGACAGAAGTTAGATAAACCCAGTAAGGGTTGGTTAGCATGTGATCTAGTGGAAGACAGAGAAGGAGAAGAGATGGTTAAGAAAGTGAGGAAGATTGCTAAAGTATGTGGAATTACCGTACCTCCGTGCGGCAGATTGCAGCCAGAGAGCTGGCGTAAGTTACTGATAGAGAAGAAAGGGGAAGCTGTCGGACCACGATTTGGTTTGTACAGCAGAAGCCTGGTACCGAGTAGCAAGAGCTATTCAGCAAAAGGGATAGGTTGAGGAAGAAATTGATCACAAAGGTTTAAGATTGTTTGTGTATTATAATAATTGTGTTACTGGATGCTGATGGATCCCTATTCTTCCCCCCCCATCAGTCCTACAGATCTCGTCACCCTCATCCTCTCTCTGCAGCTCCCTGCACCTCCAGTCCGTTTCTCCCGTCAAAGATTTCTGGTTTCCAAACGTATAAGTCTCTGTCCTTCTGTCTTGTTACTTTCCAGCACTCACATGGTTAATCTTCATGCCTGCAGCTTCACTCCCTTTTTTGCACTGTCTAACTTTCTCCCCCCCCTCCTCCCCGCTTGCATTTCTACTGATAAGAGTTAGAGACAGGATTTTTGCTGGACAATATTCTAATTCAAAGGTTATGGTGTTATAATTGTGTAATAATATTATTATTGTTGCCGTTTGCCGTTTATATATATATATATATATATAAATTGTGTTTTGTGATAAGGCAGTGAAGATTGTGGGGGGGCTCGCTCACAAGAATGCATTCCACCTTTCTGAGTATTCTCTCCAAGACTGGTGTATAAGACAGGGAGTCAGGGATGTAACTCAGTGTTGATTTACGGAGGTTAAGTAAGTGAATCTGGGGGGGCGTGGCCTGGACACGGAGGAGAATGGCAGCATAGTCTGAGAACTCCGACCCACACAGCTACAAAAGCACGCTAATTTCGCAGCAAGGCACGAACATGGGGCGCACAAAACGCCCAGACGGCTCCCAGACCCCTCGGGGACACCCAAACTTCTCCCAAACCGGACCCATGGACAGGTACCTGGCCTCCTCAGCGGGCGCAAGCCACGAGGCAGCAGAATCCAACATGGCCGACTCCCCGGCCCTCCCGCCCGCCTCAGACACCGGCGGTCCCTCTCTGGCTGATATTAGCGCGGACATACTAGCGCTAGCCGCCTCCATGGTGACAAAAGAAGACCTAAAGGCCCTCTCAGCGGTGATCCGCACGGAGGTAACCGAGATCAAGGCTGATATAGCCACTCAGGCCGGCAGACTACAAGCACTAGAAACAACTGTGCTGAGCACAACAGCACAAGCAGAAACTACAAACCTTGCCATCACCAGGCAAGGGAACATGCTATTGGCATTGAGGCGCCAGGCGGAAGATTTAGACAACAGAGGCCGTAGGTCTAACAGAGTCCACGGCCTACCGGAATCCGCGGGGGAGGAAGACGTAGAGGCTACACTGCAGACCCTGTTCAGGGAAATCTTGGGTACTGAGGCACCGGAATCCATAGAATTCGACAGAGCGCACAGGGCTAACAGAGCGCGAGCGGCAGACAACACACCAAGAGATATAGTTTGCTGCCTGCACACTTACAAGCTAAAGGAAAAGATCATGACTAAAGCTCGCCTGAGACCGACCTGGCGGTACCGTGACGCAGAAATAGCCCTATACCAGGACTTATCCCCCCTCACACTGGAAGCCCGCAGGGCCTTGCGTCCCATCACCGCACTACTTAGAGAAAGAGGAATCCCCTACAAGTGGGGCTTCCCCTTTATGCTCCAGGCACGACACCACAATGAGTGGACCCAACTGCGCTGGCCAGAAGAGGTTCCCGGGTTCCTACAACGCCTAAACTTGCCGCTAACGGAAGTAACTAACTGGGTCCTGGGCCCAGTCGACTCCCGACAGGGGCCGCAAACGCCGCGACAACAGCGACTACGCAGAGACGCCACACCATGAAGGCCACCAGCCAGACGACAACTGGCACCGACAGAACCAGAGGAGTAACAGCTGGAGAGCTTGTCCCCCCCTCTCCCCCGCCACTGGACTAACTCAGACCGACCCGTGACCTAGGGGATGAAAAGGAGGCCACCAGCCCACCGGAATGAACAGATAAGTCCCACACTACACCCATACATATAAGGGAAAAGGCCTAGGATACAACACATTAGCCCTAGATACCCTCTCCCCCAGGTTTGGGAATAACACAGGGGTAAGAAGCGAACTATAGCATCAACTTGGGTGGGGGACCGAGGGGAGGCGACAGTTAAGGAGACATCCCACTGCGTAAACCTGGCCTATCGCTGTTAGAGACACGAACACTGGGTTGATTGAAAGACACCCGGAAGGACTGGGACCTGAGGAACTGCTGATCCCCAAGAAGGGAGAACCAAACATCCCCATACTGGCAGATAAAATGCATATTGGGTCGGGGGGTTTGGGGGTTGGGGAGGGGGATATGAGCAGCAGCGGGGAAAAAAAATAAATAAATAAATAAATAAAATTCTGCAACTATAACTAACAAGTCCGGGGGGCCAAAATTCACAGAGAGTTGGGTAAAGTGGAAAGAAGGGGCGATGTGGGACGGAATTAACAGATATGGGTAAAGTTAAATGTGTTTAAAGATATATATCATAGGATGTGGAGAGTCCCAGATGACACACGATGGGAGCTAGACCAAAACAAAGTCTGTAATGTAACGTATGATATATGTTGATAAATGTTGATACTGCTTTCCATCACTTTCATACCCTTAAATGAGATACAACCAACTTGTCACCCACACGTGCAACAAGAAAACTGACTCAGAACAGGGATCACTCACAGTACCTAGCGCCATGTCCACAAGAGAAAAGCGCAACCCGCACACGTAGCTAACATACGCCTGCAGACACAGTTGCAGCTCACTGGGAGTATCATGCGACCCCCTCCCCTTTCCTCCCCCCCCCTTTCCCCTTTCTTCCCCCCCTTTCCTCCCCCCTTTCCCCCCCCCACCGGACGCAAAGTGGCCCCTGCGGAGCACACTACCACGAAAATTCCCACTTGGGCCTCGCCCAGGGTCAGAGACCACGCACAGAGGGTTGTAACCCCAGACATAGACACAACACATGACGTACTTTAACTACAGCCTACGCCAGGCCATAACGTGACCTTACGGACCGCAATCTAGTTAAGATTAGCACCACAAATACAAATAGCATAGACATAAGTGGGGAATGGAAACCTCGTGAAGACTGCCACATACAACCTCGAATACCCCAAGAACCCACACACCTGTGTACCTGCAGGTAAATACGACGGCCAACACCAGGCCCACACCCCCGAACTAGGCCTGTGTATACTTAGACTACTGGGGGCGTCGACTCCGTGGCTGTCCTAGTACTTCCTAGGGAACGGTGCGGATTTGATACTCCACCCAGTTACACAGGACCCCCTCACATTGAGGGATTAATCCTCAAAGGGACCACATTTGTGGGACCAGACCCCTACAGTCCCCCAGAGCTGAACAAACACCAGATAAGGGTTAAGCTGACCACGTAGAAGTCCACTGAAGGGGCACTACACCAACTGAGTGAACCCCGAACACCTCTCTTCCGTTCACACCACACCCTCCCCCCGCCCCCTTATCCTCTACCCCCCACCCCCCCCTACTTCAGGATTCGGGGTGCGCGGGGGAAACTGGGAGCTGGACCCAAGACACCATACAACACCACCTCCAACGTAACCTCGCTCACAACATGACATACATCCCTGCACCATTTCGCATCACGAACTGCAGAGGCCTAAACACGGCTGAAAGACGCTCCCATCTCCTGCGAGAACTCACGCGGGAGCAGGTCTCTATCGCCATGCTGCAGGAAACACACCTTAAATCTACAGACACACATAGACTGAAAAGCAGACACTACCCAGTCAACTACCACAGTACACACCCAACAACGCGTAAAGTAGGGGTAGCAATCCTCCTGAACGCCAACCTACAATTCAAACTGACCGACCAGCTATCCGATCCGAGCGGCAGATTTCTCTTCATTAAGGGCACAATTCTACAGAAAACATACACACTTGCCTCAGTTTATGCGCCAAACGTAAAGCAAGCGACGTTCCTCCGCAAGACGATCTCACAGCTAGCCACCTTCACAGAAGGGACGCTTCTCATAGGAGGGGACTTCAATGCCCCCCTGGACCCACTGTCAGACTCCTCGACAGGACACAGTAGCATACCACAAACGGCGATCCGAACTATACGGAAATCTCTCAGAGACCTGAGATTGGTGGACGCATGGAGAGCCCTGCATCCAACGGACCGAGACTACACACACTATTCCTCTATCCACAGGAGATACTCCCGCATCGACTACCTCCTCATTCAACAAGAGGGTTTGCAAAGACTCCAGAAAGCAGAGATACACACCACTACGTGGTCAGACCATAGTGCTGTGACCATGCTCCTAGACTCCCCCATGTTCAAGCCCGCACGGACAGCATGGAGAATGAATGAGTCACTCCTATCCGACTTGGAGGTACAGACGCAATTAGCGGAACATCTCACCAACTACTTTAACGAGAACAACACAGGGGATATATCGCAGGTGACGCTATGGGAAGCACACAAGACTGTGCTCAGGGGGCACTTCATAAGAATAGCATCTCGAAAAAAGAAAGAAGCACAACAACGCCTAAATGAACTCACCAACCGCATAGCACAACTAGAAACGCTCCATAAACGAACGCAACTGGAGACACAATACCGTTCCCTCCTAGAAGCCAGAAACCAGCTAACGGAGCTGGTGGCCCGCAGACATCACAGAGCGACCCAGAGAAACAGAGCCTTCTATTACATCCATGCAAACAAGAGCGGAAGACTACTGGCTCACATGATCAAGAACCGCCAAGCCAGAGCTCAAGTACACGAACTGAGGACAACCAAAGGCACCCTCACGCAATTCCCAGAGGAAATAGCAGAAGAATTCCGAAAATATTATCAAACTCTGTACAACATAGACCCCTCGACATCAGGTGACCGCCAAGACGACAGAATAGTAGCCACAACACAGTACCTCCAAAACTTTAGACCCGAAGCGCTTTCCTTAGAAGAGGCAAACGCGATAGAAACACCGATAACAACGGAAGAAATACAAGAAGAGATCAAACAAGCAAAAACCGGGAAGGCCCCGGGCCCAGACGGCCTACCGGCGGGCTATTACAAAAAATTCGGCGAATTACTAGCCCCATACCTGACAAGAGCGCTGAACCGACTGCAGCAGGGAGACAAGTTCCGACAGGAAACTCTAGCAGCAACGATAACAGTAATACCAAAACCGGGAAAAAACCCTGAAATCTGCGGAAACTATCGACCGATATCACTCATCAACACAGATGTGAAGCTATTCTCAAAAATTCTAGCGACCAGACTACAAAAATACATGCCACGCTTGGTACACCCGGACCAAACAGGATTCATCCCGGGACGAGAGGCTAGGGACTGCACCCTCCGGGCGTTTACCATCCAAAACCTAGCGCTCAAAGCAAAAACGAACCTCTTAATGCTCTCCACAGATGCTGAAAAAGCGTTTGATCGGGTGACATGGAGTTTCATGATGGCGACCTTGGTCAAATTGGGATTAGGAAAAGACATGCTCGCCTGGATAGAGGCACTTTACTCCGCCCCAAGCGCCAGAATACGGATAAATGGAGCAATCACAGACAACCTCCAAATACACAACGGCACCAGACAAGGCTGCCCCCTGTCGCCACTCCTATTCGCCCTAACCCTGGAACCGTTCCTGGCTAAAGTACGACAAACACCAGAAATCCAAGGATTCAATCATAAAACCCAAGATTACAAGGTTGCTGCATACGCAGACGATATGCTCTTTTTTATAGCCAACCCACTTCACACGCTCCCAGCCTTGATGGAAGAATTTGAGGCATACGGACGGATATCGGGCCTAAAATTAAACATGTCGAAATGCGAAATTTTAAACATTGCTTCGCCAACGGCCGTACGAGAAGAAATCCGACGCAGATACCCTTTCCACTGGTGCACAGAGCAAATGCGCTACCTAGGAATCTGGATAACTAGTAACCCAAAGGAACTATATCGTAGGAACTATACCCCCCTTCTCCACACAATCCTAACTGACCTCAAGAACTGGAATTATGACTACATCTCCTGGCAGGGCCGCATAGCGGTAATTAAAATGAACATCCTGCCGCGGCTATTATACCACTTCAGCACCATTCCATGGCACATACCACCGGATTTCTTCACAACACTTAAAACAGCTGTAATAAAATACGTATGGAAAGGAGAGAGAGCACGTCTGCGCCATGACAAGCTATGCCTCCCAAAAATGTGGGGCGGGCTGGCTCTGCCGGACATACGAAAATACTATCACGCAACCATACTCCAACGAATCTGGGAATGGCACGCGGCGACAGCAACCAAACTATGGGTGGCCCTAGACAGGGAGAGCACGAACAAGGCCCTATACACGTACATATGGCAAGGACTGACAGACGCTAAACACCACCTGAGTAATGAATCCCCCATTATACAGACGTTGAAAACTTGGACAAATCTAAGGAAGAAACAACACTTATCACCCCAACCAAGCCCTCTAATTCCACTGACGCACAACAAAGCGATAGGAGGCGGACTGCAGACAAATGCGTGGCCCATAACATCCGAGGGAAACTTCATCCCCCTGAAAGGAGCACTGAATAACGCAGGACTGAGATCTTTACGAGAATGGTCAACCACAGAACAACACACGATGATGCATAGATACCACTATGCACAACTAAGACACTTCTACCACAACCTACCCAATAGGGAGGCAGTACACAGGGACACGACGTGGTTCAAACATCTATGCACCACTGAGGCAGATGTACAAGGAAAAGTATCCAGCATATACCAGCAACTGATCACAGAGGACCATGTAAGGAGGAATGCCTTCCAAAGACAATGGGAAGACCTCACCGACAGAACCTACTCAGAAGCTCAATGGGGACAGATACTCATCCTCCAACACAAAAGCTCAATTAGCACCAGGTATCAAGAAGTAAACTACAAACTGATATCCCACTGGTACAGGACGCCTGCACTACTGCATAGAATATTCCCGGGAGTCCCAGAGACGTGCTGGAGATGCGAAAACGGAACAGGCACCCTCCGCCATCTTTGGTGGGATTGCGCCAAAATCAAACCATTCTGGACTGAAATAAAAAAGGAAATAACGACGATACTGGGGGACATACCCGACCTCACCATAAAAAAGGCGCTTCTACATTACACCGAAAGCTCAATAAGCCAATACAAAAAATCGATTCTACGACACCTACTCAATGCGGCCAAGGCACTGATCCCAATGAGATGGAAACAAACTCAACCTCCCACCGTGACGGAATGGCTACAGAGAATAGAAGAAATCCACACCTCGGAGGCGAGATACGCAGACCTACTAGGGAGAAGCACTAAGCATGTCGAGCTCTGGAGACCGTGGTACACATACCTAGCACAATCCAGAACCTAGCAAACCCACAATGAGACTCGCGGCACTCGGGGACCCCCGCGCAGCCCGGCATCCACCCTAACCATACTTTTTCCCTCCCTCCCCACCCCCCTCAGCTCCCCTTCCCCTCCCCGCCCCTCCCCACACTCTCGCTCACTCACCCTGAGAGGACCTCACACACCATGAAAAAGTTATATGAGACAATAGAAGCCGACAGACACAGAAACGGAATAGCGACAAAAAGGTCACAAGACAAAAAAGCGACACGGACCACCCCAAAAACACTAGCATTAAGTGTGACCAAGCGAAAAACAGGGAAGCTAGAAGGAGCTACGCGCCCATGAGGGACTAGCCCCCCACAATAGACCAGTATTGATAACCGATAGAAAGCAAGAAGTCACGCAATCAAACGCGGACACAGTAAGGCTAAAAGACATGACCGAACCTAATGCGGAACAAAGAGAGTAACATGACACATACTATATAGGACAAAGGACAGGACCACGGACTAAACGGGACTCAACACAGACACAGATTACAGAAAAAGGGAAGGAAGGGCAGAAGCAAGGTACACACACCATTTCCCCTCTGTGTACTCCACAGATAATCTCCATAACCCCTCTCCGACCTACCAAGCAAACTACAATTACATGAGTACCCAATGTACAAACTAATACGACACGGGACCTACAAGTCCATTCACATTCTGGGTTTGATACGACTCGCTTATCAAAAACGCATTTAGCGCATTTCCTATGATTGATAATTGTACATGTTACGCAATTGTTACTGTATTTTGTATTATATACGCCAATAGATACCTGCGTGTATCACTGCTCCCTATTTCCTTTATGTGCAAAACAAATAAAAATCTTATTTACAAAAAAAAAGTAAGTGAATCTGATACAAGAATAGAGGAATATTTGGACGTGTTAAGTGTAAAGGCAAGCGTGATTTGTTGCAAAACTATGCAATGAGGATGATAAGGGAAATTGGTTGAATTCCGTGAGTTTATTTTGCATCATTTTATTATTTTAAAGTTATTTTAAAGTACATGTTTCTAGAAACAGCTGTATGGGCTGTTAAATGCATAATGTTCTCAACTGTCTTATTTAACCTGCCAGGTCTGTTCATAGTTTAGTATTTCATTTTGCAGAACAGAATGTTGCTTCTCTGACTTATTTTAATAGTTATAATATAGTGTATTGTTGAAAGTGCATCAGCCACCACCCTAAAGATGGCGCCTAGTACAGAAGGAGGTTGACCCTGCCAGTCCCGTGACCTATCTACAGTCACGGTTGCTTCTAAAGTGACGTCACTTCCGCCCTTACCATGCCCACACCTCCTGTCTTCCTTTCCCACACCTATCATGGACGTCACCTCACTTCCTCCCTTGCTGTCATTTCCTTCCCCGCCCCTGTCATGGCTGCCTCCATCATGAGGCCTATCCCTATCATGCTCGTCCTATTTAGAGTCATGTTATTTTCCTTACACTCTACATATTATGAACAGAAACATTATAATTACTAAAACAATCATGCCATTTGTTTCCCTGTATCAGAAATTTGTCCGTGATAAAAAAAAAAAAAAAGAAGGTTGCTAAAATGTAATTTGCAAATGTGGTGTGACCTACAAATGAGATCTGTTGGACACGAATATAAGAGCATAACAGCTGATTATCCAGATTAATCTTGCAACAAGGGAAATAGCCAAATAATGCAAGTTATTTTAAACATTGTATCTTTGCTTAATCGAATCTTGCTAGTTACAGATCGTATGTTTACAGTAACATCCTTTACTTTAAATGGTGGTTTAGCATTAGAAGGATTAGTGACATGTTTTATTAACCCAGCCACTACTGGTTGTTTATTTTAGTTACAGGGTGGTATAATTGTTATAGTCTAATTAATATAAATGATAGTACCGCAATAGTTAATGTTTTATCCAAAGACATTTAGGAACTTTACTTCACTTACTATTAACCATTATTTATAATGATAGACATGTTCAGACTGCAAAAAGCTATGGCTAATGACATAGAAAGGGGTTTGAGTCAGTAACACAGCCCATACGGAGGAGAGCAAACCCGCTGATGCTTAATGCCCCTGCCATGGCAGTGTCTACAGGGAACAAGGGGGGCCACTAGCCACTGTAACTTTACCTATTGAAGGTCACCCTACTACTTTCCTGGTTAACACAGGTGCAGCACGCAGTGTTCTTAGAGAACAAGTCCTGCCT